GTGTGTGTGTGTGTGTGTGTGTGTGTGTGTGTGTGTGTGTGTGTAGGGTGGTTTGGGGAGAGAGGGGCAGGCAGGAATTATAATGAGGGTGACGATACCTGGTGAATAGACCGCAGCTCTGTCGATTCCCCGGTCTTCTTCTTGCAGGTGTCGTAAAAACACACCCACGGAGTCCGAGATAGGCTTCAGTGTGAACTGGCAGCGTTCCTGCCGGGATGGCAGTCTCACAGATATCACAGGTAACCCGTTTTGATAAACCACTGTCACATCTGAAGTAGAAAGACCCCAAAACATGAAAATTAAACTTCATAAGTTAATGCCACCTTATAGTCTAACATGTGCTCTACTATTATTTGGGTGTTTTAAATTGTTTTCAAAGGTTTTAGAGAATCTGATGATGCTATGAATTCAGCCCTGAGCCTCATTTCTCATTAAACCAGTCATTTATATATTAAAATTAGATATAATTTATTGCATTACAGATTTCCTTCATATAATCTAATTTTAAAAACAGTTCCAAAAGCTAGTTATTCTCCCTACTTTTGAGCTGAAATAAATATAGTTTCTGTATTCATTTTTCAAAAAAAAAAATCCCACAAAAACCCAAAGTACAAATTAACCAGAAAATAAACTTTAATTCAGTATAACAGAGTATCTCAGTTACCAGCCTGCTATTGTGTGCCTCGAATAAAGAAATCACATTAATTACTTACTTTTGGAACATAGTAACTTGTATCTTATCTAAGAGATTTTGATGAAAAGTTGAACTCCGAAAAGTATATGGTAGCAAAAACAATCAGATCTCTCACAGTGCCCCTTGCCAGATGATAGTAAGTTAGTTCATGGAAACTAAGAATTCTGACTGTCTCAGAATTAAATTCTGTTTTGATTATTACATCAAAAGTGAAAAGAGTATAAAACCAAGTTTCAATTTCAAAGGTGTCTGAGAGGAGGCAATCTCCAGGAGCTCAGAGGTTTCCTAAATGCCTGCTGAGAAATGGACAAAGCTTTCATTCACGACTAGCCCACAGAGATTTTCTGAAGCAAAACTCACAAGGGCCGTTTCAAAGCAACAGTTTGACTAAAAGTCTGCCGGGTTGTTCTGCCAAACCCACAGTAATGAGGATGATCTCTTGAATTGCAAAATTATGCTCCTTCAGAGAGCCTCAAATATTTCTCACAGTAAATCAAGTCGTGATTAAGTTCCTCCTTGGACAAACGTTCTGTCCAACCAAGTGGAGAGACGTTTTACATTTTGGTCTTTCCTTGATATAACCTATTCTCATGAAATCAATTTCGTAGTAGCCAGCAATAATTCTTTCAGGACTGCTGGAAGACCCTTCAGTGCTAGTATGTGTTAATGGAAGAAAAAAAAAAAAAGCACTGAGTTATGACAAGGGGAGCCCTTTCTATTATGTGGCAATCTGAAGGTGCAGGCTACTATGTTTGGAAGATGCTCCTAAATCTTTACAGTTGAAACAAAAATGTTTTTCTGGCAGCGTTTTAGCTTAAAAACTTAACACTCTCAAAAACATTGGTGGCCTTTAATACTTAACTGCCTTATTTCCCAAAGAAACGCACACACGAGGCATTTTTCTGTAACTATGGCAACATGCACATTAAGCGACAAACTAGAAACTAACTCCTTAGAGGAGCAGCAGTTGAATCGCCGAGGGAAGGATGGTGATTCCTTCAAAACTTGCTTCCCGATACCTTATGGAACAGATGATGCCATCTCCAATTTGATATGATTTCACACCAAACAACTAGTTCAACAACAGCAATATAAAAAAGTCTTTCTACGTCGGACAGTGTAAGACATGACAAAATAATAATAATTTATAAACTATCAAGGGTTCATGGGGAAGGGATGGGGAGGAGGGGAAAAATGAAAAGCTGATACCAAGGGCTCAAGTAGAAAGCAAATGTTTTGAGAATGAGGACGGCAACAAATATACAAATGTGCTTGACACAATGTATGTATGTATGGATTGTGATAAGAGTTGTATGAGCCCCCAAGAAAATGATTTAAAAAAAAAGTTTTTCTAATCTCAAGGGACTATTCTCGTTCTTCCATTTCTTGATCATTTTATTATTTTAGGAGAAAGTGCACACAGCAAGTTAGGTTTCCCACTAGACAATCTATACTCAATGTGTTTTATACATTGCGTACTATCCCCACCATGTGTAAGCACTCTCCCGATGTCCCCCAGCATTCCTCGTTTCTGTCTCCAGTTTCCCTGCCTCTCCTCGACTAATCTTTCCTTTCATGCCACTATTGCCTCGTTGGTGTGCCACAGTTGATTGTTTCTGAGGAGCACATCGGTGGCGGTGGTGGCAGTTCTGCTAGATGCTGGCACGGTGGCTCTGCCACACAGCAACCTCGGGCACAACAGAACAGAGCCCTGTGCTCCTGCACCACCAGCAGAATCACTCTTCTGCCTGAGCCCAGGGTCGCGGCCCACGGTCTCAATCCATCTCCTGCTCCTTGGCGGTCTTCCTCTTTTTCCTTGACTTCCTACTTTACCAAGCATAATGCACTTTTCCAGAGACTGGTCTCTCCTGATTACATGTCCAAATTATGTGAGACAAAGTCCTGCCACCCTTCATTCCAAGGAGCATTCTGGTTGTACTTCTTCCAAGACAGATCGGTTTGTTCTTCTGGCAGTCTAAGGTACTTTCAATATTTTTCACCAATCTTCTAATTCAAATGCACCAGTTCTTCCACAATCTTTTTTATTCACTGTCCAACTTTCACAAGCATCTGAAGTGATTGATAATACCATGGTTTGGGGTCAGGCGCACCTTAGTCTTTAGAGTAATGTGTTAGTCTGGGTACTTTAGAGAAACAAATCCACAGATACTCATGTATGTATAAGAGAGTTTTATATAAAGGGTAAGTGCACATCAAGAAAACATCCCAAGCTAATGTTGCCCAAGCCCACAAGTCCAACATTAACCCATATGTCCAACACCAATCCACAAAGTCCTCCTCCATCTCACAAAACACACACAATGATGCCGACTGCAGGAGGAAAACCAAGTCAGTGAATGTGTAAGCATCTCAGTGCTGGCAGGAGTCTCCACACGGCTGCTCCAGCACCTGGGGCTGCATTAGGGTAGGTCCATGCAGCTTCTCCTTTGGGGATGTCTTGCAGGAAGTCAGCCTTGCAAGCTGAAACAGGGAACTGGCCAAGGCAGCTGCACCCTGATACGACCATCACAAAGCAAGAGACCCGAGAACTACAAAGGCGAGGCTCACCGAGCCATTTCTCCCTGTCCTTCAATTAACCCCACCTGTGTTTATCGGCCAGGTGGGCACAGTAAACTACCTCACGTACCATCTGTGGTTCAACACTTTAAAGAGGTCTTGTGCAGCAGACTTTCCCTAAGTAATATGTCATTTGATGTCTGAATTGCATCTTCCATGAGCACTGGATGTGGGTCCAAGCAAAATGAAATCCTTGACAACTCAGTCTTTTGTTTATTTATCAGGATGTTTAATTGATCCGATTGTGAGGACCCTGGTTTTGTTTACATTGAGTTGCAATCCACTCTGAAGGCTGCAGTTCTTGATCTTCATTGCCAAGTGCCTCAGCTCCCCTTGCTTTCACCGAGAAAGGCTGCATCGCTACTGTATGTCGAAGGCTGTTAGTAAGCCTTCCACTAACCCTTATGCCGAGTTTTCTTTATATAGTCTAGCTTCTCAAATTATTTGCTCAGCATACAGATTGGATAAATACAGTGAAAGGATACACCCTTGCCACACTACCTTTCCTGATTTAAAATCATGTACTGGTCCCAGGTTTGTTTGTGTAACTATGTTGTTATTGGTTACAGTATTATTTGGAAGAAATACAGCCAGGGTGCTCCTCAGAGACAAGAACAACACGGTTTCATCTTCGGCACTTTGGCCATGTCAGGGGAGAACAGTCCCAGGAGAAGGCATCGTGCCCAGTCAAGCAGAGGGGCAGTGAGGAAGAGGCAGGCCTCAACAAGCTGGACTGACACCGCGGCTGCAACCCTGGGCTCAGACAGAAGAAAGGTGTGAGGCTGGCTCAGCACCAGGCATGTCTCGTTCTAGTACATGAGGTTGCTATGGGTTGGAACGGATTCGATGGCACCTAACAACAACAACGATTATTTATTTGAAAGGTAAACCTTGGGAAGTAGCTTCAGTTCCAGGTAAAAAGGGTGTCTTTGCATGATAGTTGCAGGGGTTGCTGCAGTCTCTATCAGTTCAGGAAATCTGATTTTCAAAGATGAATTTAGGTTTTGTTCTATACTTTTCTCCCAATTTAACCAGGAACTTCTATTGTATCCTGGCCAGCATGGTTGTTGTCAGTGGTGGCCTATCCAGTTCTCCTGGGCTCGGGCTAGAGGAGGCTGTGATTTGTGTAGTCTGTAGTGCCGTGCACTAATTGCTTCTTTGAATCTTTGGTTCTCTTTGCTCTTAACCAGAACAATTGTTTTGTAGAAGGCTGCTTGGAAACTTTTAAGACTTCAGATGCTAATTACCAGACTAGGACATAGAATATTCTCCTCCTGAACTGAAATGTCTACTTACAAAATAAAAGGTGAAAAATGAACAGATAAGGTGCGCCCCCCTTCAACTATTCCAACTTCGTATTTGTGTTGGTGAGGACTTTGTTACATAAAAACACTGAGCCTGTGTCCTATCATTTTCAGAGATTAAACATTTCTTCTCTCGTTGCCTAGGAGTTCCTAAATTGGAAGGAGCAATATACACTGATGGAGTAGATTTCCTTTAGCAATGAGAAAATATTTTAGGCTCCCATAAACAATATTTATAGGGGTTACAACTGTGTATTGCAGCAGCCATTAATAAGGCAGCTTGAACTAAAAAAAAAAGTTGCAATTCTCCCAAAGCTCTTTTAAAAGCAACAAGAAAAATGTTAAAATACATAAAGACCTCTTTCAACTCAAAGACTTGAATATACTTTAACAAAGAAGATGCTCAAACACATGGAATATTCTCTAGAATGTTCATAATCAAGATTGACCGTACAAAGTGTTGGGCACTTATATAATGCTAATGGGGACGCTAAGTGGTACAGACATTGGGGAAACAGGATAGTTAAGCACATACTTATCATATCCCTTAACCATTCAATTCTGAGGGTACTACCCAAGAGAAATGGAAACATATGGCCACATCATGGCGAATGAATAAACATTGATAGCATCAGTCATAATAGTAAAAAAAATTTAAATAATGCAAATGTCCATTTTTTGATTCATTAACAAA